TCGTTTCCCGGGGGCGCTCACGCTTCCCTCCCCTTTTTCTTTGTAAACCAGGTCTGCAGGTGGGCAGTCGAGCGTGCCGTTCTTCCAGGCCCCGGGCCTCGCTGCTGGGAACAAAACCTGCTCTGTGCCTGGCCCGGTCCTCAAGGGACACCATTACAGTATGGACAAGGTTTTACCAAACAGGCATAAAGCAAACATTTGCGTTTGCTGGTGATGGTTGACGAGGTGCCTCTGTTAAAAAACAACAGCAACTCAACCATTTGCTTCCATGCTTTTGCAGTCAGTATGACAAAGGGTTGGCATAATCCCAACTCACGTGGCTGGCTAAGCACCTTCTGTGAGGAATGGTGCATCCCGAGTGCCCTCACCTGCTCAGGCAGTATGCAAAACCTGCTGAGCAAGGGACGGGTAAGCAGATGACAGCAGGGACAATCAGCTGGCAAATACATTTTAGAAATTCACTACTTCTAATCCCAGGGGCATTTTTTGGTGCTAGTTAAAGTTGGGAACATATCCCTTCCATAGTTGACACCAAAGTCAAATTCTGGGGATATTCATATCTCACGCTTGGGAAAACTGCTGAACTGCATGCAAGGAAGACAGCAGAGGTAGCTTCCCCATGTGAGAACATTACAAAACAAGCTAAAGCACAAATCCCAGACTGTACTCTCTGTTCAAGTGCAGCCCAAACCAGATTGTGTGGCTAGGAGCAGGACTGTTCCTGCAAGAAAACTGCTGTGTAATTTAATTTCAGACTGTGGGAGGAAATGAGGCAGCAGAGACTAACACCACCCATTATCCTGAAATTCAGCTGCACCCAAGCTCAGTCAGTACAAAACTCTTGCTTCTGTGTAGCCCAGCAAATTCACTACCATCCTTTGCTTCTGAGCCACTCCTAGAATCCAAGTGTATGTAGTGGCTCTTGGACATTTGAACATTTTGGTCAATGACTCCAAGTAGTCTGTCCACCTGCTACCACATTAATTTGAAATGCAATGCTAACACCTCGTGCTGGTGCTATGAAAATTAATTAAAGCTACAAAAGTAGAGAACTGTGAAGAACTGATTTTTTTTCAGCATGCAAGTATCTAGTCTTACTCTTGCAAGCTTGTCCTGTGTCCTGTGCTATGAAAGACTTACATAATTACTATTACAGCAGATAGATGACCTGTATTTCATTGCATTCTTGGTCACCAACTTTGAGTTATGCTTAGGAAAAATGTTTTACTGTAAGAACTGCGAGCCAAACAGAAGTGTACAGATTCCTCCTGCTCCCTCATCAAAACTGCTACCAACAGCTGACTTCACAAAAGGGTATTCAGTTTCTGTCCTGTAGTGTTTGTGTTGTGTCAGTTTATTCTGATGACACATTACCTTCTGGGCAAAGAATGTCTTTTCCTACATGCCTGGGCAGTGTCTAGAAAAATTGGAATCTAAATTCATTTAGAACCTCTTCGTAAATCTGGAAGAGAAAGAGGGTATTAAATCCATCTCTTTAAAAAATTTCCACCTTACGTGTTGAATCTTCTTTTGATTTAGCCTTAAGGCACAGTTTGCTCTGTACTTGCAGTTATAGGACAATTGTAATATGCACGAATTCATAAAACTGAGGCATTGTAGAACATTATAGTGGATGAACTAATAACTTTCCCCATCATTGCAAATTATGCATGGTCACATGGCTTACAAACTTAGTGGGTTTTGCATTTTGTTAGAGATGACTCCAGATTTCTTTCTGAAAAATATTGATAATACATCAGGATAGTATTAAGATGCAGAAATTGGGTTACACTCAAAATCTTGTTTGTGGGCAAAGAGAAAGCACACTTTGTATATAAGTAAAGCCAAGAATTTGTTGTTAATGTAACTGAAATCCTAAGAATCTGATCCTGAAATCCTAAGAATCTGATCCTGAAATCCTAAAGAGTCTGATCATCATTACTCCAGCTCTAATTGTTACACACATACACACAAAAATTATGCATGTGTGTACCTTCTAATCCTTTTCCTGGTGTTCTGCTTCTTAAAAGAACACAGTTCGGTCTGGGTGTCCAGTGTTAGTTGCTCCACAGTTTGAACCCTAGGTTTACTGCAGCAGAGCCTTAGATATCAAATCTTATAAAAATAATTATTTAATAGTGTGGCAACAGCAGTATTGGCTCAAGATGGGTGCCTCCAGAGACAGACCTCAAACAAAGAAATCCCTGGGTAATTATATCCTTAACAGACTGTTATAAATAAATTTAGACTCACCCATATTTCAAACCGAATTCCAAATTTATTGTTTGAATAGAGACAAGCAAACACTGCTGGGTGTACCAGGAGTCTCCACTCCACCAAGACACACACCCACATAACAAAACCGAGTCTTTTTATAGTGTAATGCTTTTAAAAATTCATGAGGATGGGTGTGAGTAGTTTCCCGGGCTTATAGCGAAGTTTCCTGGGCTTTCCTCAGGTTTCCATCATGGAGGGGAGAATGACTCAGCATAGGGAATGACTCAGCCCAGGTGTTTTCGCAGTCATAACATAGGCTGATCACAGCATAGTCTGAACATACTGCTGTCTGTTTTGGTGACAGAGGCCATCTTTGCTCCTTTCTTTAACAACAGCAACTGGTCTAAACAACAAAAACTATGTACATGACACCTTATTTCCCTGAAACCTGTGGCTCCATAAAAATGTTACAAAACCATTTAAGAGTTCCATACTTTAGAGAGTTGCATTTTATCATTCACAAGGGCATGAATCAGACAAACATATCTCACAAAACTATGCATGCCCCCCTTCATGCAATCTCCATGTACCGGCCACACACCCTTTGGTCCAATGGCAATTTCTGGCCTGAGATCTGACACCTTTTGCCTCCTTACTGTCTTTCTTCACTGTCTTGCACCGTCACAGTGCAGTTGCTGTTGACGCTTGTATCGTCTGCTCTGCACTGGCTCTGGAGGCCTTGTGTAACTTGAGTAGGTAATGGTCATTAAAAGTTCAGTATATATAGGTGAAAAGTTCACAGCTTTCAGCCGAAGGGTTCAACGAATCTAGCTCCTTATGCTAAGTAAGTGAACAGCATACTACATCACACACCATTACAAGTCTAAGCGAATCATTCTATTCAAAATTTACTTATTTAAGCTAAACAACTAATATTTCTTAACAATGCTCACCCATCTACTGCTGCTCTGGGTCCTGAGGTTTGTGGTTTCATTCCTGGATGGTGGTGAGAGGAGGGTGTTATGGATTAATCATAATTTAAAATGAAATCACCGCCTTCAAATTTGTTTCAGTGGTCAGTAAAATTTATTAGCAAGCGAAAATGAGCAAAACAGCGCTGGGTGTGCCGGGGAGGCTTTGCTCCACGAAGACACATACACCTTACATCCCGAAACGGAGTCCTTTTAAAGTGCAGCCTTCAGGAATATTCATGAGGGTGGGGGTGCTCCCTGAGGGGTTTGCAGGTCGTCAACAACTTTTCGCGCTTTTCTTTCGCGGGCTTTTTGTTGCCAGGGAAGGTTCGCCGGCTTTCCACCGTGGGGGAGGAGGGGGATGGCTCAGCACAGGTGTGCAGGTATCCATGGGCCAGACATGTCTAGACATAACAGCATTTGGCCTGAAGACGGCGGCCATTTTAACTCCCTTTTAACAACTGATTTTAGCCATAAAAAACTATATACATAATGCTTTATCTCTTTTTAAACCTTAGGTTACATCTAAAGTGCAAAAACATTTAGAACCATAACACTGACCACAACAAAGTTCAGTTACAATACAATCTGATGTTAACACAATTTCTTTTTATATTTAATTTACTGAATAATATATTTAACCATAACTTGAGATTTGAATAACAAATATCATATAGGTTTTATTACAGAGGGGATGTTACAACAAGTTGTCAGCATCTGGAGTCCTTCTCTGGGAAGAATATGACGTTTATGTCACTGGTTTCTTCCTCACTCTAGGGGATGACACACTTGCGGTTATTTTTGTAAGTTTTTGTAATATACTTTTATATGTTTTTCTGGTGATCTGCAGCTCCATGTTATATTTGAATGTATTATATAAGATACTGTTTATTTTGGATACTATTTTGTTCTCTTTTGGCTCTGGATGGCTTGAGTGGGGCTGGCTGGACAAAATTACCTCAAGACTAGTCAGCAGATGTCTTGTGTAACTTCTGCCCTGCCACCATGGTTTACACTGAATTGTTAGAAGCCTTAGGAAAAAGAAAGAAAAACAAAAGTTGTAGCTCCCTGAAGAATCTTCTGAGTTGAACAAATTAAGTTACATTTACCATGTAGTTTCTTAGTATTCACAAAATTTAATTGTTTGGCTTCTGAAGTAGCAGGAATTAATTTGGAGGTGGTAGATAGTGCCCTACAATGAGCAGAATCAAATGATTCTGTGAGACAGAGAAGCTGGTTCTTATGTTCCTTAGCTGCTTTGCATTCTAAGTTGAGATCAACCTGTGTCCTGTGCTGATGTTCCTAAAAAATGAGCAGCTATAAAGGGTAGGGCGTAACTGACAATGGGGCAAGGTGGAAGTAACTAGAACATTAGTTCAGAGACCACTCTTCAGTAACCTCCATCTGCTGCAGGAATTTGTCTTATTGTTGTCCAAAGCCCCTAATAGACATTCAGATGTTTACTGCAAAATTACAGATTCAGCGTCACTTCCATGCAACTGAAGACATAAAAGTTTTCAAATGGGCACACGGTTT